GATTGAAACTGTTTTTTGTTTGATTGAATTTTAAAAAAAAACAAAATTACCTCCATACTTTTCTAACTGTCGGTGAATTCATTTCTCAAAAGTTTTTTCTAAAGCTTAAAACAATAATAAAAAATTTTCTGTTTGTTTCTGTTTGTGCAGGGCGTGCGAGGAGCTCGTACGAACACTGGGCTTTGATTGGCTGCTGATGTTCATGGAGGAACACCTCCACTCCAGCACAGTGACGGTGGCTCTCCGGATCCTGGTGGTTCTGTTGTCCAACCAGTCCATCCTGAACCGCTTCAGGGAGGGGCTGTGTGGAGGGGGCTGGCTGGACCACACCGACTCCGTCCTGACCAATAAGATCGGCACGGTGCTGGGTGAGAGCGACGTTCGGGTCCACTGAAATAAATAAAACTGAGCTTTTTGTTAATTCAAGACACATGTTAATGAGATTATATTATGTATTTATTTACACATCATCCCAGTAATAATTTCCAGTTGAATGTTTTGTTGTAAAACCGGATCAGCAGACGCCTCTCCTCACTCCGGCAGCGCTTTCCGTCGGAGTTGGCCTTCTTTCAGTAAACAGAAAGCTGCACAGTTTGTGCGCCTCACAGCCAAGGGTTCGTCCTCTTGTTTTATTTCACCTTCCCGTTCCTCCTGCTGCAGCCATCGTAGTTCCTCCAGTGGTTTTCAACCTTCCCACAGCTTCCAGTTCTGACTGAAGGTGCAGGTTGAGAATCAGAGTGTTGCTTCAGTAAATCAGATTGTAGCCTGAGGGTCTTTAGTTTTAAAGTTTCAAGATTTGGCGTGTTGTCGTAGTTAAATCAGATTATTGCAGTAGTTTATTACCCAGCTTTGCTCAACCTCAAACCAGGAGCAAAAGTTTATGGTGCAATATGAGGGCCAAAATTAAGACTATTGCTCAACCAGTGGTTGCTACATTCATGTAGCAGGAGGCTTTATCTTATCCTAAACCAGCTATTGATCTGATTAATGATAGGCCGACACCAGTAACTGGCCCTGGTAGCATCAGCGTTAACTCTCCAATGCTAACGTCAGCTTATCCATGCCAATGCCAGTTTATCCATGCTAATGCCAGTTTACCCATGCTATTCACTAGCCTTTCCAATGCTAATGCCAGCTTATCTATGCTAATGCCAGTTTATCCATGCTATTAACTAGCCTTTCCAATGCTAATGCCAGCTTATCTATGCTAATGCCAGTTTATCCATGCTATTCACTAGCCTTTCCAATGCTAATGCCAGCTCATCTATGCTAATGCCAGTTTATCCATGCTATTAACTAGCCTCTTCACTGCTAACGCCAGTTTATCCATGCTAGTCGCTAGCCTTTCCAATGCTAATGCCAGCTCATCTATGCTAATGCCAGTTTATCCATGCTATTCACTAGCCTCTTTAATGCTAACGTCAGCTTTAGTGCTGTACCAAACGATTATTTTCTAATCGATTAATCTAACGATTTTTTTTTGATTAATCGATTATTCTAACAA